ATTGTGAGTCATATTGTACTGGATGTGGTAAATATGCTAAAATGAGTGGTTATGAGGCTATAAAAGTTATTTCCTGATCAATGTGAAATCTTTGCTGTTAACCAAGTCCAAATGAACCAGATAATATTAACCAACAACTTCTCTCATTAAAGCTTGCATGCCATTTTTCTCTTATTTTCCATGCATTAAAATGTTTCGAGTTGTTTCACCTGTTTGTTTCATTGTTCTCCCCTTGTGACCTTGAATCAATTTGGTGAAGGCTCAACCTTGCAGTGAGCTTGACATGGAAATGAAGTGCATACTGATTTCAGAGTATATGACAAAGGTTACTTTTTTGTGTTGTATGATAACTTGCCTAAGCTTCTTTGCGTGATCTAAGGTTAGAGTAAATGGAATGCAAGAACTCTGCTTATGCTTGTGATTATCTTTTTGACAGATTTCAACTTTATTTTTGAACGAAGCACTGCAATGTATTGGGGAAGAAGGTAAAGTTTTCCAGTTCGACACTTAACATATTTTGTTTGTAGACTATCTTCTTATGGATTGTGCCTTCAGCTTCATTACATAGTGGAGCTGAGTTTAGGCCATATATGACTTAAATGAATCTGAAAAAATGAGGTCACTTGCTCGTTTGTATCAATTGTCTGAAACTTCTGCAAAATGTCACTTTAAAATAAAAAATTAACTTCTGCAAAATGTCACTTGAGCTAAACTACTTCTTGGAAGGGATATAGGGTATATCTCACTTGATCTAAACTACTTCTTGGAAGGGATATAGGGTATATCTTGTAGGTTTATTAATTCTTTCTGCAAATTATTTAGCTGACTGTTCTGTTTTACTTTGTAGGTAATGAACGTATTGAAAATATTGTGCCAGTACATTGTGATGATGAGCAAAAGGTTGATCGATCATGAGACAACTTCCAAGGAGCTGCTACAATTGGGCTGGACTCCATGCTTTGAGCAAATTCTACATTGGAAGATTTTGTGAGCAATATTGTTCTTTGTTATAACCAAACCATGCAATCTTTAACAAAAGTCCTTTTTTTTTATGGTACTATAGGAGTCTTTTCTTTTGCCTACAAAATTGGGTTTAAAATTTTTTCGAGCTGGTTTTACTTTTTATTATAGGAGGATATTCTTGTTCTCGCAATGGCAAGACTTTTCCTTTGGGATTGTCCTCAACATTGTTGGAATGACGGTACTGAAGAACAGTGCAGGTCATATTTTATCTTTTATAAGATGGATGTTCACCAGCTGCAGTTAATATTCAAATACTTACCAATACTTTCATTTACAGAGAGTTACATTTATCAGGTAAACAAAATGCAACTCTCTCTCTCTCTTCCCTTACTATATGTGGCTTATATTCTGCATTTTGGTGTGTACATTAACTTGCGAATCCATACATTGTTGGTCCATTTACCTGTACAATAGATGCTCAGTGACTTCCTCATGTGTCCTAAATAAAATGTCAAGCTTCCTTGCATAGTCCACTACCCCTTTTCAGAATGGAATATAGTAATACCAACAAATCATTATGATATGAAAAAAATTGCATTACTTTTTCCAGTATATGTTAATGTGCCTACTGCTTGGTACCTATAAATGTGAAAGGTTGTGACAGTAATTGTTCCAATTTTTTGCTACTATAAGTAATGTGTCAATTATGTACCTGAATAGCATAGTGAGAGCTGGCATTAACTTGAAAGTACGGGGAAGAAATCTTCTTTAGGGATGATAATAAGCACATAGGTATAATCATGCGTTGTGTAAATCAGCAAGTCAAACTTGACTGAGAAGTTTCTACACAGGATGATTACTATTTTATATGTTAACACAGGATGGGGAGAATAGCATTTTCCAGAGAGTTGACTGGTACAGAGTGGTTTTGGATGAATCTCATACCATCAAGTCCTCTAAAACTCTAGGTGCCCAGGCTGCCTTCAAATTGTCATCCTATTGCAGGTGGTGTCTTACTGGTACCCCTCTTCAGGTATGGCAGCAGCAAAGAATTCTGGCATTAGTTGAACAAGTGCCCGAGTAATCTTTTGCCTGATTGTTATTAAACCACAGGCTATTGTCTAGCATGTATCAATTAAGGTCATTATCAATTGTTGCAGAACAAGTTGGAAGACCTTTATAACCTACTTTGCTTCTTGCATGTTGAACCATGGTGTAATTAGGCTTGGTGAGCTTAAATTTTTTTTTTTTGACAATTTTATGGCTGATGCTCGAGATGATTGAAAAACAAGCAGTTACTATTCAGTTTTTGCGTTACATTTCCTAGAAAAATTGTTCAACGAGTTAAAGATGGCCAAGTCTTTTTTTTTGTTTATTATTATTTTTTTAATCAACATTATAGTGCAAATGAGCTTGTTCCCTCGCTCTTCCCATTTGCTGAAATTTGTTTACTGCTTGTTATAGGTGGCAAAAACTGATTCAGAAGCCATATGAGAGTGGTGATTATAGAGGGATAAAGCTGATCAAGGCTATTTGGAGGCCACTAAAACTCTTCCTCTGCGTTTGGATTGAGTGTTTTTGCACCTGTTTTTGAAAAACTGTTTTTCACATTCCAAATGCTACAGTAATGTGTATTTCAAAAACAACTTCAAAAACACCATATCCAAACAATATATCAAAAACAACTCCAAATATATTTCAATTATGTATATTTAATTTGTATATTTTAATAAGTATATTTCAATTTGTATATTTTAATTATGTATTTTAATATGTATATTTCAATTATATTTTAATATATTTTAATATGTATATTTCAATTATGTATATTATATATATTATATTAATATAAATATATTTATTTCAATTATGTATAATATTATATATATTATATCAATTGAAATAAATATTATATATGTATATAAATACATTTATTTATATATAAATTTATAAATATATTTATTCAATTTTGTTTTATAATATATATTAATATATATTAATATGTATATTTCAATTATGTATATTATACATAAATTATATTAATAATAATGTATATTATATATATTATACATTTCTAATATTATATATTTATACATACATATTATAAATATTTTATTTTATTTATAATATATTTTTATATATTTATAATATATTTACATAAATATTATATGTTATATAAATTATATATAATATAATATATAATATATTATACATTTATACATAATATATAAAATATTTATGTATATTTATAATATACATTTATATTATGTATAATATATAATATAATACAATATATATATTTATAATATACATTTATACATTTATATATTAATTTTACATAATATTAATACATAATATTAATACATGTATATATTTATATTAATTATATTAATACATTTCTACATAATATTAATATATATTTATAATTTATTAATTTATACATTTATACATTTATATATATCATTTATAATTTATACATTTTTAATAATATACACTTATACATTTAAATATACATTTATATTATGTATTATATATAATATAATACATTTATACATTTATATTAATATACATAATATTAATTTTACATTTATACATAATATCAATACATATATACATTTATATTAATTATATAAATACATTTCTACATATTATTAATATATATTTATAATATACTAATTTATACATTTATAATAATATACACTTATAATTTATAATATTCATTTATAATTTATACATTTATAATAATATACACTTATACATTTATAAATATATTTATATTATGTAATATAATACATTTATATATTTTTATATGAATATATAAATATATTTATTTATAAATATCTATAAATGTATTATAAATGCATAAATGTATATTTATATAAAAATATAAAAATTATAATATTCTAAAAATACTCAAAAATATGTTTCAAAAATACCTCTAAAAATAATCCAAAAAAATCTACAGTAAAAGTTTTTCATATAGTTTTTGAAAAACAACCCAAAAAACAACTAATCCAAACGGACTTGTTTTTCAGATTCAAAATGCTACAGTGGTGTTTTTGAAAAACAAACCCAAAAACATCTAATCCAAACGGAGCCTACTATTTACAGACAGAAGTAATTATCATTTCTTTTTATGTAATAACTGCTTCCTTCTATTTCTTCAACAGCTTATGGTACTTTTTTTTTTATCTCCACCAAAATGTAGATTTAACTCAACATCTCATGACTACTCTATGGGGAAATATGGTTATATGTTACATCAAGCCTTCTCCTTCTAGATTTAGACTGACCAGATATGTAGCTCATGAAATATAATCACTACCTATGGATGAAGCTCTCAATATTGACAACCTCAACATCAACAATCTCAATATGAACGATTGACAATCTACTTCTTGTGTTATTTTTACTTGTACTTTTGCTACACCGATAGTCAACGATCTACTTATTATCTGTTTTTAGTCATAACTTTACTACATCAATAGCCTATTATGTCCTTTATTATACTTTTCGTTTTCATTTTCTTCTATTTTCTAGATTCTTATTAGTTTATTGAGCAAAACTAGGCATGCCAGTCTTTGAATTCTACACCGCGCACATGCGCGGTGTACACCTCCTAGTTCGTCAAAAAATGAATAGCCAAACCAACCCACATGGCTGGTAAATCTAAGAGATTTTATCGGTCGGCAAATTGGAGATGGACAATCACGCCCCCAAAACTTATCAGCACTGGAGGTGACCAATTCCCCATAAATCGATGAGTCAGCCTGAACCTGATGCCGCAGGTTTTCCACCAGACTTTGACTGATGGTCATCATCAACGCATTAAAATTTGGTGGAATAGGAGGTCAAAGATTCAAATCTTGACTTCAATCAATTGCCACATTAAAATGATTTGCTTAATAAAAAATTTAAACTGGTACATGATGCACTCGTGTGATTCGGTGATGGTTTCTATCCAACACTCACGTGCAAGGTCTTGCTGGCACAGAATAACTATTTATTGAGTTCATTAATAAACCCCGTCCCAAAATTACCTCTAGCCATGCAGACCTTGGGACCCTTCCACAGCATCACCGCCAACACCGCCGCATGGACTCCAATTGGCACCGCCCTCGCCACCACATTCAAGCAACCACCGGTCCGTGCCAGGGCAGCCCCACCAAAACCCGCAAAGCATTTTCAGGCTAGCCGTTACATGCCACCAGAAAAAGCAGAAATCTTCAAGTCACTAGAACATTGGGCCACCCAAAGACTCCTCCCACTCATCAAGCCAGTGAACCAATGCTGGCAACCCATTGAATTCCTCCCGGACCCGGCAAAGCTTTCTGCCGACGAATTCTCCGATCGGGTCCGGGCCCTACAAGAAAGAACAGCTGGACTTCCAGATGAGTATTTTGTGGTGCTGGTTGGTGACATGATCACTGAGGATGCACTACCAACATACCAGTCGTGGATGAATACTCATGAAGGGGTTCGTGATGAGACTGGTGCGAGCTCAAGTCCATGGGCTGTTTGGACTCGGGCATGGACGGCTGAAGAACATAGGCATGGTGATTTGCTCAAGACTTACTTGTACCTCTCTGGTAGAGTTGACATGCTGATGATTGACAGGACTGTGCAATACTTAATCGGTGCTGGAGCGGTGAGTTCTTCATTTGGATTTTTGCATGTTGAAAATCGGATTTTTTTTTTTCCAAATATTCTGTTGGTGGTTCTTAAAAAAAAAATTCTGCTGGTGGTATTGTTTACATGCATCCTGCAAAGTTAAGGGGCAAAGTGTTATTAACCCTTTGTTTAAAACAAAACTTGTGTAAGTTTTGTCCTACAAATATTTTAACTGTCCAACAAATTTTTTCTTATCAAAATTTAAATGTGCCCCTTAAATATACATCTTCATAAATCTTGTCCCCACCCTCTTAAAATTCCACCAGTACACACACTCATATATCATGTTTATTGCCCTCCTGCATTTAAATATTTTTATAAAATTTTTTCATCATTGTCAAGAAAATTAAAACTTGAATCTATCTCCGAACACTTTCTTTTTTCTCTTCCACATCCTAGCAATTCTGCATTTCATTTCTAACATTTGTTGTGAATTCACAGGATGTTGGAACAGACCGTAACCCGTATTTAGGATTTGTATACACATCTTTTCAAGAAAGAGCCACATTCGTGACACACGGCAACACAGCTAGGCTAGCCAAGGAAGGAGGTGATCCGGTGCTTGCGCTCATTTGCGGGACCATTGCCGCCGATGAGAAGCGCCATGAGATTGCCTACGCTAGGATTGTTGAAAAGCTACTGGAAATCGACCCCAATGGGGCCATGCTGGCCATATCAGAGATGATGAAGAAGAAAATCACAATGCCAGCTCATTTGATGCATGATGGGCAGGACCCTCATCTGTTCGAACATTTTGCAGCCGTGGCACAGCGGATTGGAGTTTATACGGCCGATGATTATGCTAACATTCTCGAGTTCTTCATTGGACAGTGGAATTTGGAGAAGATCCAAGGACTGGAGGGTGAGGCGAGGCGTGCACAGGACCTTGTTTGTGGACTACCGCATAGGATTAGGAAGTTTCAAGAACGAGCTGATGAGCGAGCCAAGAAATTGCAGCCCCGAGGGGTGAATTTCAGCTGGATTTTCAACAAGGAGTTGACCCTGTAGTGGTAATACTTTCAAGGGTTTAAATGGAATGTTTTAGTCACTAAATATAATATTTGTCCCACTTAATTAAAATTGTTGGCGAAAATGAGACAAATTTGATATTTAAGTAGGACATATTTTATATTTTAGAGAATAATATGCAAAAATTTAATACTTAATTAGAACTGAAGCGGGACACGTATTATACTTTAGAGACCAAAGTGAGGTAGTCATTATAATTTAATACTTTAGAGACCAAAGTGAGGTAGTCATTATAATTTAGAGATTAAAGTGTTTCATTTAAAAATTAAGGGACAAAAATGAGAATTCGAGTATAATTGAATGATTCATAATGAATCAAAATTTTTAGGGCTTTGTTTACCTATACCTCCAAGCCAATAAATCTTAGCAATGTTCCATAAGCCCATTGCATCTCATTTCAGTTTCAAGCGCTCCCTCAATGCCAAGTTCCATGCGATAGGGTGTTAAAAGACTAAATATCTCACGTTGATTTTCAAAATTTTTTAAAATTATATTAATAAGATGTTGGATAATTTCACTCATTGTGAACTAATTTTGAAAGAAAACCGTACACAGCATACCTGCGTTTGGTTTTAAAGCTAACGTAACATTCAAGATACGATAATAATTTCACCTGGGGCCCAAAATAAAGGGACAAAAAAAATAGAGTTTCGGTCGGAGGCAAGTGCCATTATATAGTAGAATTAAAAGTTGGTCCGTACAATAATGCCTCAGGCAGTTAGGTAAGTGAGATTAAAATTTACTCCCTCCCTTTTTTTATGACTGACGTTTAAGAAATTTACTCTAGTGTACTTTTATCTGTCGTTTTATTATCCCCATACAGTATTAATTATTTTTTTACAATTTTACCCTTTTATCTCTCTTTTCCAATACAGGATTCTTAATTACTACTCCTAGTTTGGTGGGAGTTAGTTTGCATTGCTTTTGGCCTAGTAAAACAGCACCATTTAGTACTCTAGTGAGAAAAAATATGGGTGAATTGGATAATTAATGAGGGTACAAAAGGAAAGTAGTGTACAGATTTAAGCAATGAAAAATTTTTCTTAATTGGTGTGTAAAACCTTAAACGTCAGTTATAAAAAAAAGGGAGGGAGTATTAACCAATTAAGCTAGTTCACTAAAATCCATCGTCCTTCTTGGGCGTAGGTAACGGGTTTGAAACTTCTTGTTTGTCTGTATTTTCCATTCAGGAATTTTTGAAATATTTTTGAAAATAGTTTAATTCCCTTCAAATTTTTAATAGTTTAGTCGGTCCATTCTCATCCCCTTTCCCTCCTACAGGACCACCAGGTGTAAAAATGTTATACTAAAAAAAAATAAAGTAAATTTATTGAGTTGGGGCCAATTGAGCATCGGAACTTGCAAGTAGCAAGTCCGTACAATAATGCCTCAGGCTGGTCAGTAAGCGGGATTAAAATTTATTGAGCTGGGACCAAATGCCTTGTTAAGTCGGTGCTGGCATTAAAAATTTTGTCTGCACGTCAGAAAGTGGAAAAGATCTAAAAATATCTTCTTGTTCACAGTGTTAAGTTAGTGTAATGGTCCCATATAGGTTCTTGTGGTAGTAAGTTTAACATGCATAATGAGATATTCCAAATCCTGTACAAACTTACCTGCCACGCAGTGGCGGATTTAAGGTGGTATACTGGGGCACGGCTCCCATTGCTCCCTCTTAATTTTTTATAGTACTTATAAAATTTTGATGTAATTTTAAGTGTATTTTCGAAGTTTTCTTACGAAGGAAGGAAATAAAAGAATTATGTAGTTTTTTAAATTGGTTAATGAACTAATATTCTAAAAGGCTATGTGGGTCACAGAGTTTCATTTGAAATAAGCTAAAAAAATATTTTCATTTGTACTTATTGGTGAATATTTTTTTACTTAAAAAACTAGAAAAAGAATAGGTAAAAAATTTTAGTATTATTTTTGTCCCTACTGATAATTTTTTCTGACTCCGCCACTCCTATCACATATCAATAAAAGTTACAAATTTTCCTAAAAAAGTAAAAAAAAAAAAAAAATGTGGAAAGGAAAAACAAAGTTCCTGTTTTACGTAAAACTAGTCAGTATCCATACCTACTGTGTGCACAATTTCCAGCAGAAACGCACATTATCCCGGGCGTGAAGTGTGTATATTATCAAGTATACAAAACGATCGAGGGTTCGAATAGACACTGCTTCAATACAATAGACACAGCTGCTGTACTGTGCTTTATCCCAGACAGATCGAGAACAGCTACGCACAGAAAATATGTCTGCTAGCGTTTCATTCTGCTCATCACGCAGGACAAATAGGGAAGTCATTAGGGCCCCCCCACTTCATAAGACAATGTTTAAATATTAATTTTTGTTGAATTAGCATCCAAAGTACAAAAGCATACTTGGGAATATAGTTTTTGCCCCTCCCGAGTGATGGAGCTTCTTCACAGCCGATTGAGTAGAAAACTCAGTAGCAGCCCAATAGATATGATCACCAATATGCAAGTGTTGAAGTAGTAAACTACTGGGGCCGGGTAGTTTCCTGAAACTCCTAAACCACCCAAGTGTTTCTTCTTCCCCGAGGCCAGTTTCAATCATCGCTTTTAATCAAATCCACCACTCTTAATAGTTTGTTGAGTCCCAAATTCTTTCGCAAGGATTCAGGAAATTTTAGATATTGTGGTCCAACAGAATTCCAGTTATCAAACCTAAAGGAAGTGTCCAGGAAATTTTGTTGTTCAAATTAGATACTATTTGGCTTCTTTATTATGAAATTTAATTTAACGGACATGACTAGATGTGACTGAATTCTATCAATAATTGAATTTTTTTTTTTTCAAATGTTCTAAATCTGATTTAAATTTGATACATTGGAGACCAGATTTGCACTTGTCAAAAATTTGAGAACTAAAACTACAAGTGCTAAACATTGAGGACTAGATTTACTTTTGCAAAAATTTCCAGGTCTAAAACTGCACAGGAGTTAAAGCTTGGGGATTAGAATCGCATTTTTTCTAATTACAAAAGTGCGACATATAGAAAAATGCATGAGAGGTAAATTAAAGGAAACTAGCATTTACGAATTAGAAAGAAATAAGTTGTTGCATAATGAAGGATTACGGGGGTTAAGTTTGCAGAACGTTATGTTACTATAATAAATCGAAAGCAGGTAGAGAAAGTTCTTAAATTGGTATAGTTATGCATCCAAAGGTACTCAAGTTGATCCATGAACTTGTTTTGCTACCTAATTAAGAGAAGAAAGAACATTAAAGTTTCATCTTAGATTTTATTTTATTTTTGGGCAATCTTAGAATTTATTATAGTTCAATATAGCTTTAGTCAAGAATTTCTACTCCTCCGTGCTCTTCAATTCACGGTTGTTACATACCTTGTAAGTGCTCAAGCTCTGCATTTAGACATGCTTCTTAACCATAATCTGTTGCTAAATCACAATGATATGGCAGTGTTCTATCAATTGAATTCTCTGTCCATGTAATTATGGATTTTTTTAGCATCTAATTAGATTAATTAAAAAAACCCTAAATATGGATCTTTGACAGCCAAGCGATATTAGATAAAGTTGATTTTAATGTATATCCATGGTTAGATTACTATTCCCTTTTCTCTATCCATTTTTCCCAACCTGTTACGAATTACAACTGTATTTTGCTCTTTTCTATTAACAAATTTTGCTTCAAGTTGAATAGCTGACTTCGCAACAAAAATCTTCCAATTTGCTAATGTCATTTAGCTCCTTATCTTCAAATGCTCGAAAAAATCTTGGCTGTGATGCTGTACAGCAAAAACTAGATTAAAATTCAGTCGAAAAGAATAAACAATTGTGTTCTTGTTTCCATATGTTTACAATTGTGAGCTTGCAAGCCTGCTAGAATGAATAATGGAGACAAGCATAAATGCGCATAGATTAGATATACCGCAAAGTGTAAATTAGAAAAACTTCTATCAACCAAAATTTAGTCTCAAATCATGCTTCAGTTTTGTTCTTATTTTGAACAAACTGCAGTAGATTTTTCATCGCTTTAGCGATTGACAAGTGAACAGGCCCTTAGTAATCGCTGCTGTCCAGTTTTGAAGTATTTAAGATAAGAGATTCAAATTGGACGAAGTGCCATTAGCAAGTGTTATTTTTTCGGACCATTGCAACTTACAAGCTGCTAGCCGACGAATTAATTTCTCAAGCTTTTTAGGCAAGCGGTTGAGTTGGGGCCAGTTAGCCGTTTATAAATGTATTGACATCTAAATATTGATCAGAAGGGCTTAATGAGATTGCATGGGACTATTGGAGTACGGTGAGTCGGCTCCAACATATTCCACACGTAAACAATGTTAAAGTCGGATCACTCCTGCTCAACTTCATTTTTTTTGGGACTTATTCCACACATTTGCGGTTAGGTTCATGAGTAAAAGGATTGTACCCCACATTGATTCGAAAGATAGAGAAAGAGCAGTTAATATGTAAGTAAGGGTTCGAGATCTAATGGTTTAAGTTTTTGAGTCAGAGTTAGATTCTTAACTTACATATTGGTCTCTTTGATGGATTCTCTCAAGATGTTTCTCTCTATCATCAACAAATAACAATTGTATTAGTTTAGTGATCAAGAGAAAAATATGTGACAAATAAAGATTTACACTTAGCAATACACGGGCTTTGCTAGCAAAGACAAGGATTTGATTCCCGTTCAGTGTATCCCTTCTTCTTATTCATAACGCACATCTAAATACTTAACACACGTCTTCTTTTATCAATAAGTATTAGAATTAGTTAAAGTTAAAATGATCAACTTCTATACTAGTAAATGTAGATGTATGTCATACATTCAAATATATACTGCGGGAAATGGAGAGAAAACCCACTAGAGAAGAGCCAAATCTGCTAAGACGAGTTATTCCCACAAATCCATGTATACAAGATTTATGAAATCCTCACGTATGCTGAATATTTTTTATTTTTATTTCTTTTTCGCTTTCAATTGCCAGTTGTATTTTTAAACTTCTTACAGTTGGTTTACCAAAAAACAGTTTGTGGTCATATACAATAGATAAATTTTTAGAGTAAAACTACAGAACACAACAATTGT